CACTCATCAGGAAACTGCTGTTCCCCGAAAGCACTGTCCAGCCACAATGGCAGAGGAACTTGTGCTGTTGTCTGGCACACAGTCTCAGCACCGGTGAGGCCCACTGGGCAGCTGGGTGGGGTGGGGGACTTCGTAAGATGAGGTTACTTTGGCTAGGGCTCTCTTCCTGCCAACGGGCACAGCCAAGGTTGAGGCCTGGTACGGTCAAAGGCAGGCCCTGGCGCTGGAGAGCAGGAGGGACCCTGGCGGGATCTCAGCCTGGAGACCCCCTTCCTTCAGGCTGCTGGAGGCCTGCATTGTGAGGGAACACATTTCTGTTGTCTTAAGCCACTGGGTCTGTAGTCATTTGGCGGAGTCGTCCCAGGTGACTAAAACGAGATGACACTGCTAACATCAGGGGGACACGTGCTGAGCTCCTACGCTGGTCCTGAGTGGGGCTGAGCCTTCACACTTATCCCGGATTTGGGTGGAGCCTAAGCTGACTCCCACAAGCACAACTCCTGGGCACAGAGGTCCTGAGCTCCCCATATTCTGGGAACCTTGGCCTGACCCAAGGCTTTCTCCTGCCCTGGCCCTGGAATCTCAGTATCCACAACACCCACTTTTTTTTTTTTTTTTTTCAGGATGCCAGGCAGGCAGCAGCACCACTGAGCTAAATCCCCAGCCCAACACCCACGTTTTAACAGGCATCTTGCAATATCTGCTGTGCCTGCCATTGTGCCAGTGACAGGACACACACGTGCGTCACTCGGCTCCCGGGCATCGTGACAACCTCCACAGCCCAGCAGAGCAACTGGGACTCGGGCTGGAGGACCTGCCTGAACCCCTAGGCCAAAGCCAAGAAAGTCCTCTCCTTCTCTGGGCTCTAGCGCCTGGCACCCTGTGCAGTAGAAGGGGTGGGTGGGCCAGAGCTGTAGCCCAGGGCCTGCCCCAGGCATCTTGGCCAAGCACAACCCACTCTGCCCTGCAGACACTCAGGTAACAAGCTGGGGCTCTGGGAGCCTGAGGTGGGTGAGGGTGCCTGGGGTGGGACAGATAAACTCATTCCAGCGGGTAAAGCAGCCCAGGAGGCTGGACCTCAGCAGGACAAACCGAGATCCCAGCTCCTCAAGCACAGAGCGGGCACCTTGACGTCCATCTCCTGGCCCCAGCAGGGGGCAGCCGTGGGCCTGGCACCGGGGATCACGGCCCCACAGAGGGTGTGCAGGCTCAGGGAGCCCTGGTCTCCTCCAATCTTTCCCTAGAGAATAACGTTGTTTTTCAGTGTTGGGGATCCAACCCAGAGCCTTAAAAACGCTAGGCAAAGGCTCTTCTACTACTGAGCTACATTTTATCAGTGCCAAGAGCATGATTTTATCAGTGGGACACGTCCTCATACCTCAGACCTAAGACTGCCAGCCTTGGATCCTATTTTATCTGATATGAAGTTTCCACATCGGCTTTATTCCTGTGTCCCAGTTTTACCAAAGCATTTTTACATTAAAATGAAAAATATTTAGAAATAATTTGCCCACCTACACTAGCATTTACAGGAATATATATTCAGCAAAAATGTATACATCAGAAAAAGAAAAGCTTGTGTAAATTTTTTAATACTAAGTTTATCAAAACAATCTGAGATTAGTATGAGAGGTGCTCAAGCCAGGCGTGGTTGTGTGCACCGATGCTGCCATTGGGAGGCTGAGTGTTGGAGGCCAGCCTGGGCTACAAAGTGAGTTCAAGGCCAGTGAGACCCCGACTGGGGTAACAACAACAAAAAAAGAAAGGTGCTCAAAGTGGTGGCGATGAGCTTCTAGATATTTATTAGTACAGTGAACTGTTGAAATGGGTATAAATTTTTTGGACAGACTCTGTGTATTCTAGAATACACTTGCTGGAACATAGTAAAACAGTTCCATTCACAATGCAAAGGACTTTCTTGGTCACAAAAGAAATTGAGCTTCATGTATCATGGATATAGTGGCACATACAGTCTGCTTGAGACCATGTTCTAACTTGGCCTCAGAAACTGTGTTAGGGAACTGCTAAATGATCAGAACTAGCCCCTAACCCAGCAAATCTCACTTGAAGATGCCACAGCCATCCTGATCACCACCGTTCCTGTCATCCCCGCTCACACTCAAGAGCAACCCGTTCTGTGTTCACAGGCAGCAGGTCGCCTGGAGGGTGTGGCACAGAGGAGGTAAAGATCTGTGGCATGGGACAAGTCTGTCACTGGGAAATGCAGCCAGCCTTCAAGACCTCCATCTGAGGGCACTCAGCACCTCCCTGGCGTCAGCTGATGTGTTAGGAGCCTGCAAAGTACAGGAATGCTTTCTCTATAGTCAGACTGCACAATCTGGGACACTGCGTCCTAGTGCAGTGCAGACAGATGCCCTGAGCTCATGGGGTCCATATAGCAACACTCCCCTTGTAACGCCCTCACTCTTCTTACATGCTGCTCCTAGGAATCTACAGTCTGGCTTGCTTTTTGTCTTTTCACAATTGTGTATTTTGTTTTATTTTAAATATGTTTTTGTGGAGATTTAAAAATATATACTGACAAAGGGGAGGCAAAGGCATCCTATCCTATCTCCCAACTTGGACAAAGAGCAATGTTCAACATTGTACCTCCTCTCCTGTAATTACCCCTTTAACAATTTTTGTTTTGTTTTTTGAGACAAACTCTTGGTATGTAATCCAGGCTGGCCTTGAACTCATAGGGATTCTCCTGCCTCAGCCTCCTGAGTGCTAGGGTGACAGGCATGTGCACCACCACACCCAAACTCCCTTTAACATTTTTGCTCCAAGTTCTGGGCTTTTTTCTTTACTTTCTGTTCAAGTTTTCTAGTTCATTCTTTTTTATAATTCAGCCCTTCTGCTGAAGTGTTTCCTTCTAGATACGTATTAGTTCAGTGAACTGTTGAAGTGTGTAGAAAGTGATATTTCCTTTTTTATTTGTTTTGTTTTTGTTTTTTGAGACATGGTATTGTTATGTAATCCAGAAAAGTTAACCTTGACCTTACTGTACTTTCAATCTGGCAATCTTTCTACTGCAGCCTCCCAAGTGGTGGGATTATGGCCATGTGTTTCCATACCCAGACTAAAATATTTTATTTTAGTTGTAATATTTAAAATTTCTAAATACTCTCTTGCTCTCTGCTTTTTTCCCCATATAATTCTTGCTTAATACCTACAAACACCTCTTAGGTCTTTCTGAAGGATACTTGCTGGAAGTCGCCTATTTGGCCTGTGTTCCATGGATGATCTTGGTTTCCTCTGGGGTCATTTCAGCTTATTCCAATAGACCCTTTTGGTGCATGTGGGGTTCTCCTTGACACTTGCTCTCGGGCTGTTCTATAGCATTATGATGAATCCAGCAGAACCAGAATGTTCAAATCCACCACAGTCCAAGGAAGCACTGGCCGTTGACCAGGTCCAGGGAAGTAATAGGACCTCTTGGAATATCCCATTTGAGACTACTCTCTTTTACTCGTGGGGAGTTCTGCCATGCTGGTTCTGTTCACCATGTGACTCCTGGTGGAGATGGGGCCACCGGGAATCAGGTGGTCAAGTGGAGGAACTGGAGACTGAGTAACTATGTCAGTCATTAGGGCTCTCATGCCTTCCTGACCAAATCCAATAAACCCCTACCCAAGGCTGTAGTCCCTCCCCTGGTGGGTACTTCTCCCTTGCACAATTATAGGTCCTTGCTGGAGAATGAAGTGCTAGGAGCTCTGGATGACTTGACATGTGTCCTTTCACTTGACCTTGAGAAGGTGGAGTCTTGCAAGTGAAACTGGCTAGAGATACACTGGCCTACAGGGTGGCCATGTTTTCACCTGATTGGTTGTCCATTCATGCTGAGACTGAGGGCCAGCTGGTATATCGCCCCGCTAACGGCCCCCAGAACAGGACCGCCCCTCGAGGCCAGGGACACCTGTATGGGGCCCCTTTGCAGGGTAGCAGAGTAGGTGGTGCCAGGCCCTACCCAAAGGCAAAACAGACTCAGCTTCACTGTTTGTCTGAAAGGATCATACCTCCAACATGGTAACACGATCGTTGGCTCCTAAGGACCCACCATGAGAACACGCTAACGGGCTTCCTGGGGCCTCTTGGCTGAGGGCCAGGTCACGAGGAAAGGAGGCAACAGAGAAGATAGGGTTCCTAGGCTGCACAAAGACCCCCTTCTTAGTGTTGGGGTTCACTGGCTGCTGGGTCACGTCAAGCGGTACTGTGGGTGTCCTACTCTTGTAGGAGCAGAGCACCAGGACACTGTCTCCAAGTATCCTAGGCACAAGGAGGCCAAAGAGAGAAGAGGGGGTGTGTCCAGGGCCAGCCCCGTCCCCCAGGGGGCGCCACCGCTCCGCGCAGCGGGAAGGGAGCGCTGGAGAGAAGACATGGTCGCCAGGGGCGGGATGCTCCTGCTGCTCACGGCCTTGCTGTGGTCGCGGGTGGGACCCGAGGAGCCCAGTGAGCTCACGGGCGCTGCTGGCCTCATCAGCAGGGGGTGGGGCAGGGGTGCGGAGGTCCTGGGGTGCTGCCTTCATCACGAAAGCGCGCCCACTTCGTCCTCTCCCCGCCGCAGGTCCCGGGACCTCCAGGCTGCTCTCCAGT